CTATTCTCACTCTCAGTAGGTATGAAGTCGATTGACACGAACACGCACCAAACCGCATCTACTTGTTCATCATTCTTACCAGGTTATTGATGCCAACCGCAAAATGAGTTAGAGAAATCTTTAGATTAAAGTGGTATGCGCATCGTGTTGTACTCAAAATGAGCACGCATGTACAGTTTTTCCAACCAACTGGCTAGCCGAAATTTTGAGCACAAGTGCAAATACTAAAACTAAATTTTCAAGGACGAAAGCTGTTTAAATGTGCCCCCGGAGAACAGTGAACTACTTCGATGCAGTCCGGCTCAACACCACATTTATCCTATTGCGTTTTTGTATGGTCATCCGTTACACAAAACCCCACGGCTTAACTCACCAGTTCCTATTACTTATGCGTAGGTCCCGTTTGACTTATGTGTGATTTATCGCATCTGCTGCTCATAACACCCAAATGATCTTGCTTTTGATCACGCTCTGTGCATTACCTGCCTTTCCTGTGTATCCCGATCAGGTCAATCTGCCACTTCAAACGATCGCTGGTTCGAATCCTCCGGTTTATCCCAATCTCGGTATGCATGCGAACGGTATGATTCAACCGCCGATTATGATTGGCAGCCTCCTACGTCAGTCCGGTTTAGGCTTAGATCGATTCACTCATCCACTGGTTGGCTCTTTGCACAGTCCGACCATGAATCCGGTCAACGGGATGCTCAGTTCCCAACCGCTGACTAATTGCTTCACCACGGACGATGGTAGTGGGAATCCGGTCACCATGCCAGCCAGTCCGGTTTATGCGTGTTTTCATGACCAGGTACCCACAGGTTATTACGGGACGGCTACCAGTGGAGTGACACGGACGATTCGACTCCCGGCCAACATGGAATTCGGTATGCCCGTGAGTAGTAGTAGCGCGGGCCTAATTGGTTTGAGCACATTAGGCACGGGAGCTCGGAGCGTGGAATATTGTAGTGAGGACACGGAGGTGGCCAGCAGTGGTAGACAAAGTGGTAAGGACTATTGTACTGTTCGATAAAAGTGTCAATCGATTTTCTCTGTTTGTTTGGTTTGGTTTAGGATATTCCTGACATCCGTCAGCCATTTTCAGCCATTCTTTGTCCTTGTCACATCTGCGCCCAGCTTAATCCGTACTAATCGGACCCAATCCAGCCGAATTAGTTATACAGTACGTCCTAGCTTTTCAGTTCACACTTCGTTTGTTCAGTAATTGAAAAGATTCACTATATAACTTAGTCAAATCTTCCATTAATCTCACATGAGTACAGTGCTCCGGTTCGCATGGGAGTTCTCCTATTCGTTCCGTTGTGAATACAAATGTTTTGCAGTTTCACTGTTCCTCGAGTGCACACGAGTGTTATCACGGCAACTTATACTCAAGCTGTCTGTAATATAAAATACACCATTGGAAAACTTGTAGCATCATCTTTGCTTGTCTCCAACGGAATTTTCATCAACAGTCAAATTATTTGTAGTATTCGGAATAGGAATCGAAATCGATTAGCGCGCGAACTCGGATTCGAACTGAAAACCCACTGAATAGCGCAAAGTCAGGTAGAAACGAGGCGAGCTATGGATACAGTTAATTCTATTCAGAAAATCATGCAAATATATCACAAGCATCAAACAATCATTGATCGATTCTTCAGTGTCCAATCGGGAACGATATGGTTTATCTGTTTGCCTTCTACCATTCAACCAATCCGATTGGTGCCAATTGAGACCACAAGATTGGTGGGTTAATTCGCTTCTTTATTGGTTACCTGGAAGCTCTATCNCACCACATTATCATGTATCGCAAGTGTGGTATAGCGGTGGTTTGATTATTCAGAGGAGATTTTACTCGTCCCGCGCGGTCTTCTGATTTGTTTGGTTACCGAGTGGTTGATTGGCATCGGTATTCTGTTTGACTGCTCACAAATGTGTGATGATGGGGTGACCCGCATAGTCACGAAGGCCTGCTGTTCTGTGATGGGAAGTGGCTGCCTAAGCCTCGGGACTTGGTCTGGTGAACTGCCTAAGGTCCCGCTAAGCTCGGTGTGTTATTGAATCGGACGACAACAAAACTGCCTAACACCAAAGTTGGGTGGCCGTGGCGGGGTTTTGAATCTTGGACCACAGGGTTCAAAGTACACCAGTGCTAATGACTGACCCACAGCGTCATAACCACTGCTTGTTCGCTGAGCTTTCCGATTTGTCGCATGCCTACAGACATCATCTGACCGATGTCGGATTCTCTTTTGCCCAATGATTTTTATAGATAGTTTACTAGGAACGGTAAAAACGACTGAAGTCCCCTAACTATTGACCCTTGTCGATATTTTTTGTCTGTCTTTCTGACGTAGTATTTCATGTGGTCTTTAAGTTCAGTGTACGTAACTCTGCGAATTATAGCTATCCTGTACAGAAGGACGATCGTGATTTCTTCCGAAAGAGCAGTCGTATTGTAGTTCAGCCATTGAAACTATTCTACTTAAACTTTTGTTTCGTTTTCTTTTCGACACAAACCATACAAATTTCTGGAAATCTATCCCCCATATTGTGATCATATTTCTTGTCGTTCCCGATCGGTGAAATTTGTTCTCCTCTTTAACAATCAACATTGAGTGTCAGGTTCGAACACCTCCAGAATCGATTGTAATCGGACGGTTCTTAAAGAAAGTCAATACGTCTTAGCCTCAGTGAATGTTTGCCTTTACATCAAAACGTGCAAATGTGAGAGAGAAAGTGAGCCTGTGCTTCAGTAAATCAGATTGTGCTTTCAGTTCAGTGGCAAGCACAGTCAGTAGAATCATAACAATCTCACCTAGATTTGTACCGTACTCGTAGGTGATAGCGTGATGATTCGCATTCCATGAATGAATGCATCAGATATCTGCAACCTCGCAGACACTAAAAGACCAAAGGATCCGATCGCCAGATGTGATCCATCTTTTGAAATGGATTAGACAAATTCAGGTACTTTTTAACCAGATTGTGAGCTCTGGATACGAGCGGCAAAATGAGTTACGGTTATTGCTTGCAATAAACTGACGAAATTTGGTTATACTACTTATCCCCGGAGGGATTTCATGCTCACGTTCTACCTGACTAGATTCAGCTTCAAACTGCGATTAGGTTGAATGACTGTTGAATGAATGAATATTTGTGTATTCCTTCCAGTTATGTCCAGTTTTCTCTCCGCGTACGACTAAATCCATTCCAGCTGTATAAATCGATGTAACGATTTTCAGCCCGGATCCCTAGTCCTCCAGAACCTGACGCGTGTACATATAGCGTGTGTCCGAGACTACACACACACACACACACACACACACACACACACACACACACACACACACAC